CGTTCGTTACTGGGTGTGGTAGGACCGTAGAACTTTATTCTGATGTGTTAGCTGTGTGATCATTTCGCTCACTCTCTATCAAATGCTGCTTCCTGTGTTGGAGCCTCATCGGGTTCCATCTCATTTCTGGATCTGCCAGCTGAGGGCTGCTAACAGGTTCTCCCTCACACCTCATTGGCACACATCATTAATTTAATCTCCCATTTATTACATTGTGCCTGGCATGTGGTCGTAAAATGTGGATGAATGAAGCTCACATCACTCCCTTTTCAAAGTGTAATAATTCACATTAAAACAGACCGATAGTCAAGTCAACATCAAGTGGTTTAAAGGTTACTTTCTGACAGGCTGTTGCTGGAAGTTCCTTAAGGATAACATTATGAACAAGAAATTACAGATATCAACATAAAACAAGCAGAAATGAGATGTAGCCCAAGTACAGCCCAGTAACTCTGTGCTGTACAGTGGGGGCCCATTGCTTGAGTTCCTTGCTGCTGAAACAAACACAGGTTAAGTTTAAGAGATAACAAGGTGTAGAGCTGGATGAACACAGCAGGCCAAGCAGCATCAGAGGAGCAGGAAGGCTGACGTTTCGGGTTTAAGCTCCAATCCAGTAGCAGACTAGGTGTTGTTTTGATGCACAGGGAGGTTCATCAGAGTGAGAGAGAAGGCTCTTTGTTCTTCTTTGCCTGTGATCTCAGCACTTTCTGCCTGACTTCCCTCCAAGAGAACAGTATTTGGTTTTCTGTACACCTTTTCCCTTTTGTCTTCCCATTTGTCAAAACTCCCGTCTGGGGATATTTACCTCAGTATCTGCCTCTTGGAGTTCTGCCCCACGATGCAGACTACAGCGGGTTAAGAAGGCAGCTCACCACCACCTTCTCAAGGGCAACTAGGGATGGGCAAGAAATGCTGGCCAGCCAGCGACACCCACATCCCGTGACTGAATAAAAACAATTCTAGTTTCAATAATAAAAGTATCTGTTCCATGCTTGTGAATAATCTTTCAAACTTTAAGAGTTGAGTTGGCCTGGGCTTGAGGCGAGACTCATATTGCCTCAGTTAAAAGACAATCGGCTTCTTAAATCCTGTAATTATCAATTCACATTCTTCTATTCTGGTGTCTGTTGAGGTAGGAAGCTCTGTTTTAGTACCTTAGAGGGACCCATTGTGTTGCTCAGGGCTATGTGTATTCTCAAAGTCTCCTTTTTATGACTTGAGACTGAAACCTATTTCAATCGGATTCAAAACATTCCATCGTAACAGACAATTGTCCTGTGCCATTCACCTTGTAGAAACGTTTTAGCTTACTTTCCTGCGCACAACTTTTAAAGCAGAAATATCCTTTAAAACACATTTTCATAAAAGCCAATGATATTAGATGATGTGTCTGCAGTACATTGTTAATGTGTAGGATAACAGCCTCCATGTTGAATCATTGGCCCAGCTCATACCCCTGTGTCTGTCGTTGCTTTATGCTTTGTGTCTGTCCTGTTTTTCTGTGTGATCGCTACCTTTGTTATTTGGAACGTGGATTGCATTAGCAGCTCCTTTGAGAAATGCAGGTACAGAACAGTCACTTTATTCTGTAAAATGTCCAATGCTAAAGCTGAAATCGCTGTATCGAATTAATTGCATCATTTGCATTTGACAGGGTTTTGAGCTTCATTTGATGTAAATGGCATCTTAACGTTCCTTCGTTGTGATTGTCATCTCAGTTATGCTCCTGGCTGTGTTGGAATGTTATAAAATGTTCACACAGAATTAACATCAAGAAGACAGGGGTTTTTTTTGCCCGTTGATCTCACCTGCAGACCCACATACCTACATCACTCCATCTAACCAACTCCCGAGTGTGAGATAGTCAGTTCCACCTTCCTACGTTAAAGACTGTTCCAGGAATCAATTATTCTTTGAGTGAAGAACATTTTCTGGTATTTGTCCAAACGTAGCTGTCACCTGTTTTAACCAAGCCCCTTCATCAGTCAGGAATACAACGACTGCCTGGCTGTCTCACGGCAAAGCTGTGAGTTTACTGGTGGCTTCTCATGACTCTCTGTATCATGTTACCTCTTGTATTCACTTCTGAATAATCAGAAGAATATTCTCATGGAGTTATTCCTATCATTTACCAAACCACACAGAATGGAAAGGCCCAAGATTTGAGTAAATCTCAAAAAGAGCAGTAACAGGGAGTCTCCAGCTGGTTCCCAGGTGAGGGAGGGTCAGATTGTTTGGATTCCCAGTCCTGACGGCTGTTCAACCTGCATTGGAGCCGATGGGGAACAATTTTGAACCTGGTGGAAATCTAGCATCCAACCCAGCTCCGTGGGATTCTCACTCATTGATGTGTGGGAAAACCACCTCCTTTTAGTAAGGATGTGAGGGTTACTCTGAGACAGCCAGGCATTCGTTGTATTCCTGACTGATGAAGGGGCTTGGTTAAAACAGGTGACAGCTACGTTTGGACAAATACCAGAAAATGTTCTTCACTCAAAGAATAATTGATTCCTGGAACAGTCTTTAACGTAGGAAGGTGGAACTGACTATCTCACACTCGGGAGTTGGTTAGATGGAGTGATGTAGGTATGTGGGTCTGCGGGTGAGATCAACGGGCAAAAAAAACCCCTGTCTTCTTAATGTTAATTCTGTGTGAACATTTTATAACATTCCAACACAGAAACTGGACACTTGACCACTCAAGTTTGTATCAGGAGCAATGGTCCATCTGGATTGATCCCATTCTCCTGTTTGCTCCCTGGAATTTTTAATTTCCCCTTTTTTTTGGGATCTTTACATATCGCCCTGAGAGGACAGACAGGACTTTAATTTTATGCTGCTGTCTTAACGGCTCAACATTCCCTGAGGACTGCACTGTAGCATCTGGCTGGAATTTGTCCTTAAGTCTGTAGTGTGCAACTTGGAAGCACAGCTTCACTAAATAGGAAGTGAGAGTCAGGGCTGATAATAACTGATGTAGGAAGGTTTCACCAAAGGAGGGAACCCTCTTAATTTTCAAAAGAAAACAATCTCTGATCAAAAGGCAGATTTTCCTCTTCAGTGTTAGAGTATGAGGTTGGCTGGAGTGAATCATTGAGAGTTAGAGCCAGCTGCTCATGGTTATGTTCAGTGGTAGTGTCCCTAACTCTGAGCCAGGAGGCCTGGGTTCAAGTCTCGTCTGCTCCAGGGGTGTGGAAGAACATCTCTGAACAGGTCAGTGACTAATATCCAATTTAAAAAGTAATCATTTCAAAGCAAACTGAACAGATGGCAGCTCACAGGCTTGAACACATGGTGATACTGTCTGTCACACCCAGTTCAAGGTCAGTTGTCACATGACACCAGGTTATAATCCAACAGGTTTATTTGAAATCACAAGCTTTTGGAGCGCTGATCCGTCATCAGTTCACCTGACGGAGGAACAGTGCTCCGAAAGCTTGTGATTTCAAATAAACCTGTCGGACTATAACCTGGTGTCGTGTGTCTCCTGACATTGTCCATCCCAGTACAACACCGGCACCTCCATATCGTGAGACCCAGCTCAGGCACCCTGTGCTGAAGAGTAGATTCTCACTGAGGTAATGGGTATGCCTATTCCTCCGGTCCTCTGTCTGTGCCGGCTGTCCTCTGTCTGTAATGGCTGTCCTCTGTCTGTACGCACTGTCCTCTGTCTGTACCAGCTCTCCAGGCAATGCCTGTAATATGTACCCTCGAGCCTTTGCCCCATCTTCACACCTTTCACTGACTTCAATGGGTGGCCGTGCCCGAGTCCAGGAATTTCATTCTGAAATCCCTCTGGATCATTCCGGCTCTTTCCTCCTTTACGAGAGGAACACTGACTGATTTATGATGCAGAAGATCATCATGCGGTACACCCTGTCTATGCTGACTAGTAAAAGAGGTGCCCAGTTTAATTCCACTTGCCAGTTCTCGGCCTGTAGCCTGGTTTGTTGCAGCATTTTCAATTACATCAAGGAATTTTCCAATACAGTGTGGGTTTCTGCGTTTACCAGCCCTTCATACAGTGAGTTCCAGACCCCCATTATCCACTGGCTGAAGGATTTCTGCTTCGACTGCTTACTTGAGAACTAAGCCCCGACTGATTTTCTAAGGTAAATATACCCTCTCTATCCACTCTATCTAAGCCCTTCATAACGTTCTGAGGAAGGGTCACCGGACCCGAAACGTTAACTCTGTTTTTTCCTTCACTGATGCTACCAGATCTGCTGAGCTTTCCCAGCAACTTTGTTTTTGTTCCTCATAACTTTATACAGTTCAAGTATACCTCCCCTCACCTTCCTCTGATCCAAAAAAAATCAAATCGGTCTGTCCAATCCAATTAATGATGCACTGATGTCCTTGTATCATTGCTGTAATGTGTCTGGAGGTATTTACTTCTGTTAAAGATACTGTATCAATTCAAGTGGTTGTTGTTGATTTGTTCTACATTCATACTGAGTATCTCAACATCATCTTGACATGTCCCCTGTTGTATAATTTCAGATGCAGGGTGCAATGCTACCAATTTGATCTGGAACACACTGGCCCCATTGCTGCCGATCATTGGTATAATCTGTTCTGTGCTCTCTGCAACATGGTGCTGTAAGTAACAAATTACACTCAAACAAATCAGCAGCTTTTCACTGATCCTAAACTGGATTCCCACTGAACTGCTGAAAACATGTACATACACAGGCAGTTCTATACATTGTGCTATTTTTAAAGCCATCATTCGATATGTTGTCTTTGATTCAACATGCAGGATAACATTTGATTCCCTCACACTTGCATCCTGTTGCGAGGAATACGTTTTCCAGTTGAATATATTTTCTCCAGGGGTAGCAAAATGACAATGCTGCAGATAACCAGTGAGGGCGCGAGAGTGTCATGGTCATCATTTCCCAGGTCGCTCATGGGACATGGGTATCAATAGTTACTTTCTAAGGAATTCAGTTACATGGAAGCTCTAACCAATGATCCTCACCATCACTTTATTATTTTTAAAAATGGAACAGGATTAATGAGAAAACTCAAGTGCATTACCTGTTCTGTCTCTTCAAGTACACACATTATCATTGTCCTTAAGATAAGGGCTGGAAGTGTGGGTGATGTGTATAGGTGTAGGGCTGTTATCGACTCTCTACTCAACATCTGGGACTGGATGGACGGAAATTTGAGAGCAGCCAATGATGGACAATAAATGTTGGCGCAGCCAGCGATGCCCTTCTCCCACGGCTATAAAAACAATACTGGACCTGTGTACCTGTTGTATACATCATCCAGCAATGTGTAGCAGCAGAATCGATGAAGAGTTGAGGGGGCAGAGGGCAGATAATGTGACAGAAATCACCAGCTTTTCATTGATCTTCTACTGGATTCCCACTGATCTGCTGAAACGCATACAATAAGTAGGCAAATCTAACTCATTGTGTTATTTTTGAAGCCATCATTAGATATGTTTGATTTGATTCAACATGTGGGATAACACTTTATTCCCTCACACTTGTTTCCAGTTGATTTTTATTTTCTCCAGGGGCAGGGAAATGACAATACTGTGGACGGCCAGTGAGGGCACCAGTGTCTCATTGATATCGTTCCCAGGTCGTTCATTGAGCTTGGGTGTCACTGGCTGGGCCCAGCATTTACTGCCTGTTCCTCATTTCCCTTGAGAAGGTGGACAGTATTTAATTTGCTGATTTGGATCCTGGAAGAGGAACTGGATATCTGAACCAGGAAGACAAGGGCTAAATTCCTTTCCTCATTGACCTCTCGGAAATGGAAAGTTCCTTGAAGCTTGACCTTTGCCCCCCTCCCTGTCTCCCCAGCAGTGCGTCTCTCTGTCAGGAGAGTCTTCCCCAACTACATCTCGAACTCTCTACCACTACGCTTCCCCACCCCATCTTCTATGCCTCAGGAGTGATTTTCCCCACCAGTGGCTCTCTCCCTTACACCCAGCTGTGATTCTCTCTTTCTCTTTCTCTTTCTTTTTCTCTTTTTCTTTCTCTCTTTCTCTTTCTTTTTCTCTTTTTTTCTTTCTCTCTCTCTTTTTCTTTTTCTCTTTTTCTGTTTCTCTGTGTCTAGCAGTCACCCTCCCTTTCTCCCTCGAGTAACCCTCAATACCTGCAGTGACCTTCTCCCTGCCCAAACCCATCAGATCCCAGTGATCCTTTTCTCTGCTTCCGACGTTATGGACCAGACCAGGCCCCCCCTCAAAATATATAAAGTAAATAGCCTGGACCCTAACTTTTTCTTACTTCAAAGGCAAGTGTCAGGTGTTGCATTCCAGGTGCAATGTAATTGTTCAAACTACTAGATTTGAAGCAAAGCACATTTTATTCATATACTGTAGTTAAAAGACAACAAAACAAAGAGGAAATTGGAATAACAACACTAAAGACAGATGGAAAGGAAAGGGGGATGGGGTAACGTTGCTGGTTAAGGAAGAGATTAACACAATAGTAAAGGAGGACATTAGCCTGGACAATGTGGAATCCGTTTGGGTGGAGAACACCGAAGGGAAAAGCACATTAGTGGGAGATGTGGACAAACCACCAAACTGTAGTTATGATGTTGGGGACTGTATCAAACAAAAAATTAGAGATGCATGCAGTAAGGGTAATGTAGTTATTATTGGTGACTTCAATCTACATATTGATCGGACTAAACAAACTGGTAGCAATGTGATGGAGGAGGATTTCCTGGAATGTATGAGGGATGGTTTCCTCGACCAATATGTCGAGAAACCGACTAAAGAGCAAGCCATACTATGCTAGTGTAATGAGAGAGGATGAATTAGCAACATTGTGGTGTCATATCCTTTGGGGAAGGGTGCCCATAATATGGTAAAAATCTTCATTAAGATGGAGAGTGATGCAATTAAATGTGAAACTAGGCTCCTGAACTTCAAGAGCTAACTTTGATGCTATGAGACCTGCTTTGGCTAGGATAAGCTGGCCAAGGATACTTAAGGTGTTGACGTTGGATAGGCAATGGTAGATATTTAATGAACACATGGACGAACTTCAACAATTGTACATCCCTGTCTGGTGTAAGAGTAAAACAGGGAAGGTGGCTCAACCATGGTTAACAAGGGAAATCAGGAACAGTGTTAAAGCCCAAGAGGAGGCATATAAATTGGCCAGAAAAAGCAGCAAACCTGAAGACTGGGAGAAATTTAAAATTCAGCAGAGGAGGACAAAGTGTTTAATTCAGAAAGGGAAAATAGAAAATGAAAGTAAGCTTGCGGAAAACATTAAAAACTGACTGTAAAGCTTCAATAGATATGTGAAGAGGAAAAGACTGGTGAAAACAAATGTAGGTCCCTTGCAGTTAGAATCAGGTGAATTCATAATGGACAAGAAAGACATGGTGGATTGAACAGATATTTTGGATCTGTCTTTACTAAGGAGGACATAAATCAGGAAATGGTAAGGGACAGAGGGTCAAGCACGAAGGAGGAACTGCAGGAAATCCGAATGAGTCAGGAAATGGTGTTGGGGAAATTGATGTGATTAAATCTCAGTAAGTCCCCAGACCCTGATGCTCTGCATCCCAGAGTACTTAAGGAAATGGCCCTAGAAATAGCGGGCTCATTGGTGATCATTTTCCAGCATTCTGTAGACTCTGGAAGAGTTCCAATGGACTGGAGGGTAGCTAATGTAACCCCACTCTTTTTAAAAAAAACAAAGGGAGGGAGGGAGAAGATGGGGAACTGTAGGCCAGTTAGCCTGACATTGGCGGTGAGGAGAATCCTGCAGTCAATCATTAGGGATGCAGTAACTGAGCATTTGGAAAGCAGTGACAGAACCGGTCCAAGTCATCATGGATTCACTAAAGGGAAATCGTGCTTGACAAATCTTGTGAAAATTTTTTGAGGATGTGACCTGTAGAGTGGACAAGGGTGAATCAATAGATGTTGTGTATCTGAATCTTCAAAAGGCTTTTGACAAGGTTCCACACAAGAGATTAGTAAGGAAAATTAATCAGAGGTAATGTGTTGACGTGGATAGAGAACTGGCTGGCAGACAGGAAGCGGAGAGTTGGAATAAACGTGACCTTTTCAGAGTGGCAGGCAGTGATGAGTTGGGTGCCACAGGGTTCAGTGCTGGGAGCCCAGCTGTTCACAATATACATTAACAATTAGGATGAAGGAATTGAATGCCATATCTCCAAATGTGCAGATGACACTAAGCTGGGTGGCAGTGTGTGCTGTGAGGAGGATGCTAAGAGGCTGCAGGGTGACTTGGACAAGCTGGCCGAGAGGGCAAATACTTGGCAAATGCAATGTAACCTGGAGAACTGTGAGGTTATCCACTTTGGTCACAAAAACTGGAAGGTAGATTATGATCTGAATGGTGCCAGTTTAGGAGAAGGAGAGGTGCGATGAGAACTGGGTGTCATGGTGGAACAGTCGCTGAAGGTTGGCATCCAGGTGCAGCGGGCAGTGAGGAAAGCTGGCCTTTTCAGTGAGAGGATTTGAGTTTCGGAGTGGGGATGTCTTGTTGCAGTTATACAGGGCCTTGGTGAGGTCACACCTCGAGTACTGTGTGCAGTTTTGGACTCTCAGTCTGAGGAAGGACATTCTTGCTATTGAGGGAGTCCAGCGAAGCCTCACCAGACTGATTCCTGGGTTGGCAGGACTCACATACGAGGAAAGACTGGATCGACTGGGTTTGTATTCACTGGAATTTAAAAGAATGAGTGGGGAATCTCCTCATCAAAACACATAAAATCCTGATGGGATTGGACAGGCCAGGTGCAGGATAGAATGTTCCCAATAGACAAACAGGAAGCTGGAAGAACACAGCAAACCAGGCAGTGTCTGGAGGAAAGGAGCGGTTAACATTTCAGGTATTACCCTTCTTCAGGATTGCAGGAAAAGATATCATGAAACTTGAAAAGGTTCAGAACAGATTTATAAGGATGTTGCCAGGGTTGGAGGGTTTTAGTTATAGGGAGAGGCTGAATAAGATGGAGCTATTTTCCCTGGAACAGAGGCAGAGGGGTGTCCTTATAGAGATATATAAAATCATGAGGGGCATGGGTAGGGTGAATAGCCAAGGTGTTTTCCCCAGGGGTAGGGGAGTCCAAAACTAGGTTTAAGGTGAAAGGGGAAAGATTTTGAAGGAACCTTTTCACTCAGGGTGGTGCGTGTATGGAATGAACAGAGCAAGTGGTGGAGGCTGGTACAATTACAACATTTAAAAGTCATCTGGATGGGTATATGAATAGGAAGCGTTTAGGTGGATATGGGCCAAATGCCGGAAAATGGGACTAGAAATAATTTAGGACATCTGGTTAGGGTGGATGAGTTGGATTGTAGGGTCTATTTCCGTGCCGTACAGCTCGATGCTTCTAGAAGTGTGTCAGAAACATTAACCATACTGCATTTATTACAGATAAAAATTATGGATAAAGGAGGCACTCGCAAAACAGAATCCCACATTTGGGAAAGGTAAGATAAAATGCATGTTTGGATACCCAAACTGAGGATTCATAGGCTTTCAGTCCCATTATTTTTTTCCAGCACTTTTTTTGTTTTAATATTAATTTCCTTCAATTCCTCTTCTCAATAGATCTTTGTTTCAGTGTGTGCAGTGTCAACTTAAATTTGAAATAGGTTAGGTTTCTTGTATGCTTATTAATAACGTGGACATGGCCAATGGAGGCTGAATACTGATGTTTGGATATAAAATTGCTTTGTTATTTACTGAAAAGATGATCAACCATGGGGCAAACTCGAGAGGGCTGAACGATCCTGCCAGTTTTCGTTATTCATTGCTGGAATGTGGGCAGCACTGTCTGAGTCAGCAGTTATTATCCATCCCTATTTGCCCTTGAGAAGATGGTGGTCAGCTGTTAATCCATATGATCTTACTTTACAGGGAGCTGCAGAATCTGATATTGGACTGGAATGGATGAGGACATTCAGCCAACAAAGACTTGGATTTGTATAGCACCTATTACAACTTTAGAACATCAGGAAGTGCTTCCCAAGCAACGAACTACTTTAGACTGGGAGTCACTGCCATGGTGTAGGAAATGCTGCAGCCAATCTTCACACAGAAAAGTCCCACAGCCACATGATAACAAACAGACTTCAAACATGAGGCACAGACAACAAACACAAAGGGCTCCACACATCAGACATAGACACTCGCTGTCTATCACTCTTGATCTCTATCGCTCTCGATCTCTATCACTCACACACACACACACACACACACACGCTTGCTCTCTCACACACTCGCACACACGCTCGCTTTCTCACACGATGACACCTTCCATCACTTTACATACTCTTGTTCAGGCAGCTTCAATACTGTCTCTGAGGGGCTGGGATTGGAGTCTTTCTCTGTATAAGAATTGAGGAGAGCTAATTGGCCAATTGTAGTGAATGCCCAGAGATAACTCCCCCCAACCCCCCCAACACACACACATGGAGGAGACAGCAGGAATCCAGTCAGTACATCATGCGAGCACTTTGAAAGACCTCTACAATTAGTCAACCAATTAGACACAACTCCCACTCCTCTCATTGAAATAAAATGTCCTTCCCTCATTGCGGGCTTGTCACCATCTGCACCATTTCAGGGTTTGCGTTGGCCCTCCCAGGAATTAGTTAGTGATATACAGCCTATGTATTAGGAGCAAGAGTAGGCCATTTGGCCCTTCGAGCCTGCTTGCCCATCTGATGAGATCATGGTTGATCTTATTGTGGCCTTAACTCCACGGTCCCAGCTACACCCCTGAAAACCTTTCCAATCTATATACCAATTTTCAGACGATTTCGGTCACTAGACACAATAAATGTGGCCTAACTAAAGTCTTATACTACAACATGAGTTGCCACCATTAATACTCAGTGCCCTGATAGATGAAGGTAAACATGCTGTGTGCTTTCTTTGCTACTTTATCCACTTGTGTTGCCACTTTCAGGGAGCTATGGAGTTGTACCCCAAGATCCCCCTGTATATCAATGCTCCTGAGGGACCTGCTTTGTACTGTATATGTTCCTCTTATATTTGACCTCCCAAGTACATCACCTCACACTTGCCCAGATTAAACTCCGTCTGCCATTTCTCTGCCCAACTTTCCAACTGATCTATATCCTGCTGTATCCTTTGGCAACTTTCCTCACTATCCACTACTCCACCAATTTCATGTTGTGTGCAAACTTAAAAATCAAGAGTTACTGTGGGTCTGGAGCCACATATAGACCAGACTGGATCAGTATGGCAGATTTCCTTCTCTAAATTCCTTTAAATAAACCAGTTGTTTTTTTTTTTGTTGTGAGCATTGACAGTGGTTTCATGATCAACATTTCAATGGCAGATACAGTACAGTTTGGATAAATGTGAGGCTATTCACTTTGGAAGCAAAAACGAGAAGGCAGATTACTACCTGCATGGCTATAAATTGGGAGAGGGGATCGTGCAGCGGGACCTGGGTTTCCTTGTGCCGAAGATAAGCATGCGGGAGCAGCAGGCGGTAAAGAAGGCAAACGGTATGTTGGACTTCATTGAGAGAGATTTCGAGTACAGGAGCAGGGATGTGTTCTTGCATTTATACAGGGCCTTGGTGAGACCACACTTGGAATATTGTGTGCTGTTCGGTCTCCTTTTCTGAGGAAGGATGCTCTTGCTCTTGAGGGTCAGCAGCGAAGGTTTACCAGGCTGATTGACTCAGGTGGGATTGTTTTCGCTGGAGTTCAGATAAAGAAGGAGGGTCTCATAGAGACTTATAAACTTCTATCAAGAGTAGACAGGGTAGATACAGGGAGGATGTTCCCGATGGTGGGTGGGTCCAGAACCAGGGGTCAAAGTCTGAGGATTCAGGGTAGATCATTTAGGACGGAGATGAGGAGACATTTCTTCACCCAAAGAGTGGTGAGCCTGTGGAATTTATTACCACAGGAAGTAGTTGATGCAAAAACATTGAATGTATTCAAGATGCAGCTAGATAAAGCACTTGGGGTGAATGGGATCAAAGGTTATTAAACTGTTGAGTTGGACGATCAGCTGTGATTGTGAAGAATGGCGGAGCAGGCTTGAAGGGCAGAATGGCCTCCTCCTGCTCCTATCTTCTATCACTGAGACTTGGTAACTGAATTTAATCTGAACCCACTGGCAGGATGGGGTTTGAACCTGGGTCTCTCATCTTCAAGCCTAGTGACATTACCACTACACTAACATCTCGCCACTCACCATACAAAACACTCAAGGTGCATTTGAATAGCAGCCGTAGTGTAATAACAGATCTGAAAGTGGTTTACATGTTATCAGATGGAGGGTAAATATGACATTGTTGTTTGTAAGAAAAGATAATTATGAAGAAGCAGTTGAAAGGGAGAAGTGGAGAGGTTTACAGAGAGAATTAGAGAGCCAGGGGCCTAAACAGCTTAATGTCCAGATGTCAATGTTGGCACAAAGGAAATGGAGAATGGACAATTGGCCAAAATCGGAGGGATTGTGAGTTCCCAAAGATCTGTATGTCTGGAATAGGTGAGGGGTTGGGAGGGATGATGCTATGGAGGAGTCTGAGGGCAGTAATGGAATTTTAAATTTAAGTTGGTATTACACACACAAAACGTAGAAAGTAGGAATGGGAGTAGGCCATTCAGCCCATCTAGACTGCTTCACCATTCAACATGATCGTAGCTGATCATCTGAGTATCCTGTTTGCACTTTCTCCTTGTACACTTTAATTCTGTTAGCTCGAAGACCAGGAGCTGGGTTTTGTTCTGTTGCTCGCACTTTACCCCTCTGTTGTCTATAGTTGGCATCACACAACACCACTGGCCTTGCCACATTGGCTGCAGGGTTAAAGGTTACAACAGAGAATATCCAGCAAAATCCTACTGCACAATGAGCAAGTGTGGGTGGCATGAACTGAGCATGTCCAGCTCCAAATCCCTTTGAGGGCTACAACTGTTGCTGTTTTGGCCTTTCTTTATTTAACTTCCTCATTTTCTGTACTTTAGATCAATCTCAAATCATTACAAAGGGAGCACCTTCACTATGCTCCTCCTTAAGCAACGAGAGTTGCTGTGAAAGAGGCGGGTGTAGTGATTGTAATGAGGTCAGCCGGGTGCATTTCATATGATGAGTTCCCTGGTTGGGGCTGTTAATCTCATCCAGTCAGGGAGCCCTGGCTGACAGGTACAAACAGGAGTCTCAGAGGTTCTGCTCACTCTGAGAGCTATGAACTGTAGGAAGAAAACAAAAATTTAAAGCTTTTAGTTCTTTCATTTTTTTTTTGGACAAAAATCATCAATGCCACTGAGTACATGAATTTGCATGTGCAAATATTGAAGAATATTGGAGAATTCCACAAGGTTTTTTGACTTTGAGTGAACCTTCATTTGAACATTTTCTTTGGTCTCGAATACAATCTCTGTCCCTGAAATTTGTAAATTGTTGTATTGGCAGCAAAAGATTAATAGGCTATTCCTTTCCAGTCCCCTTCACTTTGACAAGTGAATGCTGCTCAGTCTAGTAAAATATGGAATAATATACAAAATAAGTAATTAAAAAGTGCAAATTGTGTACCTGCTATTTTTAAAACACTTTTGTTTGTACAAAAAATTGTTTACTGTTGTTGCAGTTTAGTGCAGTTTTGTCTGTAATGATTTTCACTGCCCAGAATTCTAACAAAATTTTTCTATGTAAACATGTCACACTGTAATTGCATCATCCCACCACTCGTGGGACTGTGCAGTGCTCAGTTTAATGACTCCCACCTCCTCACTTCAAATTGTAGAAAACTCTTGTTGCTCCAATTCTATTTCTCTACTCCGCAAATGTTACTTGTTTTACTATTTTTAAAGATAAGTTTCTGAAGATGAGTGATCTAAATATTTACTTATAACATTGACAGGAGCCGTATCTACCCACATCTTAACTTTTGAAAAGGGCACTTTACAACAGGAAAGACACTGGGTTCATGAGAACGCGAGAACTGTGCAGAGCAACAGGAGATCACACTGAGATATTCAGATAACAAGACTTTCAAAGTGAGGTCATACAGCCCAGTCTGTGGGTGGAATGAAGCTGTTGAACCTTGCGCTCTAGGGTCAGTGAAAATCTGCGATAACTTGCCCGAGGAGCAGCACCAGCCAGTTTGGTTCCTTGGTCTTTCCTGGAAACTCCTCTCAGCAAAATGTCCAATCACAGAACTCACTGGAAGTAACCTTTACCACTCACAGGGTGTTCCTTTCGAGGATCCCACAATCTATGTCACTGCTCCTGACAAAGAGGATCGAACCAACCACCTCAACTATTCCAGGAAGACAATTTGGTGCCAAACGCCCTGCTAAAAAAAAGGACACAGGCTACTGCAGCATAAGTGCTTGCATTTGCTAAATTCACAAGCTTCTTGATAGCAGTCACCTTGTCTGCAACACCTTGAGAGACTGGTCAACTAAGTAGTTTGTGGGTGCAAAGCAACACTTTTGAATGCAGACTGCCGCAGAGAATCTGGCACAAGCTCAACAGCTTTTACCTTCTCTCTCTCTCTCTCTCTTTCAGAAAATCAACTCGCAAAAGTTTGGGAGTAGAAAACCCATTGAAAGAATCGAACACCACCAGTGGAATGTTCCAAAAAGGATAAGTCTCAAACTTGTCTCCAGAAAATTAATATCAATCGGCTGTAATGGATCTGGGAAGGAACCCAAGTGTCATTAGTTTATGTGGACAATGACTTTGGCTGTAGGCCAGCATTTACAACAATTTCTAAATCTGTCTTTTTTTTCTGAATTGAATTGGTATTTGGCCAAAGTGTCCCATATCCCTTAATACTTTTGATTGGTTAACAAAACCTTATCTCAGATTTAAAATCCACAATTAATATAATGTCACTGCCTCTCCCACTCTGTATGTGGAAATATTTCTGAATGTCACTCCAGAATAGTTTGGCCCGAGGTCATGTCTGGAATTATTTGACTTTATTTCCCTATCTGTCCCCCTCAACATCTTGAAAACCAGGATCAAATCATCCCTTAAATTTCAAAATAACAACTGGTGCTGGGTGGGAGAGAGAGGAATAATTGGACCAGCTATGCAGTACGGAACAACACACTCTCTGAATTGTGCACAAGACATCAGTTTCCTGTCCTCCTATAATGAGAATGTTAAACAGATGGCAGTAAGAGATGCTTTAAAATACAAAATGAGCTCAGCAAACTACTTTCCACCAGCTTGCCCAGATACCACCCTCCGATAAGTGGACAGACTGACAATGGCCTCTGAATCTGCAGAAACAATGGACTATTAATAAACATAAAGTTTATTCATAAAGTTTGAAACTTCGTTACAAATCAACTACTTGAATATTATAGAAATTCCGAGAAAATTGGACACTTATTTCTGTGCTAGTCATGTACGCAGCCTCAGGACAAAACATTTCAAATTACTGAGAGTGCAATAGATATAGTTCTCTATACAACAGGTTTCACTCTGATGTGCCTCAATATATTTTAGTACTTTTGATGAACAACATACGTGCTTTGTGAGGCCCACAGACTGAGGTGTATTCCAGTTGCCGGACTCTCAGGACACTGTTACTGAAAGGCTATAGACATTGGCCTTTTCTCATTGTGTCCCTGCAGTACCTGCTCCAAGCTACAGTGTATCCTTTAGCACATAGTCCTGGACCTCAGAGTGTGCCAGTCTGTAACACACTTGTCGAGGACAACTCTCTGCATGAGGAGACCAGCAGGTTTCAGGTACAGCAAAGAGCATCTTTCACCGAACTGATGGTCCTCCAGGCACCAGTCGTTGTGTGTCCCAGGGAGCAGCCCTTTGGTGCACAGTGTCCCACATCACAGAGCTGCTCAACAAAAACCACAGCAGAAACCACTAGTAACCCATTTGTTGCTGAGAAGTGGAGAAATTCTTCCTCCAGACAGTGGTAAGCCTGAGGACTTCACTATCCACAGAAAGCAGTTGAAATCAAAACGTTGAATGTTTACAAAAAGTAGCTGAATATAGCACTTGGAGTTAAAGGGGTCAAGGGATATGGGGGAGGGGAAAGTGGAGACTGGGTACTTTAAACTTGATCTGCCATGATCGTATTTAATGGTGCATCGAGTTCAAAGGGGCCAAATGGCCTACTCCTGCTCTTTTGTAATGTTTCTGTATCTCCATCTCTCTCCACGTCCTCCCAGTTTACAATGAATGGCCCCGACCCTCTGAACCATATCCTGCCCACTTTCGGGTAATCTGACAGTGAAGGACACAAAAGATTGCCTGGTCAGACCAGTTCCCAAATAACACGGCCTCACTCTTATTTCAATTTAGTTCGCCTCTGAAGGCCGGTTCAAACGGAGCAGAAACCGGTGATGTCAGCATACACAAGGTTTCTTTGTCCACTTCCTGTGACTGACACCCCCAATATTTCCACATCATTCCTGATGGACTTGGCAAAAGGGCCCATATAATACCCAAAGCAAGGGCAGCCGTGCTCATCACCAGGTTTGAGTTCCCCCCCCCTTGATTGAAGCTGCGCTCCTGATGTTTGTGAAGGGCAGTTGCATCTAGTTGTGAATGTCCTTGCAATCTCTGTATATCATGATGGTTCAATGGGGACCTGGAGAATGACCCAAACTGACCCAGCCATTTGTAACTTTGCATCTCACCATTGCATGGGAGACTGATACTGCTCCACAAAGCTTGTCGACATTTTTAAGAAAAGTTTTTATTCTCTCTGGCAGCTCAGTTGATGTCACATTGAAACCTCCGGTTTGCACCCTAAGTGGCTTTTGGGAAAAGTGTAAACATATCATGTCCTTGGACGGAGCATTTTGTTTTTGGCAAAGACTGAGAAAATTTCTTTGTAAGCAAATAATTGTGCAGTTTGACCTGACTGCACTGAACATTGACCAAATTACAAGCAGTTTCACTTTCAGGACTCAGCCTGGAATTCAGTTGCTGATTCCATCCCCTTGGCCCTGCCCAGTCTGTTAGTCCTGTTCCTGTACTGACTGTGGGCAACTTGGGGATTAAGACCCCAGTGCAACAGCATCTTTGAAACAGAACGCAGGCACTTTCTGAATTTCATTTGGGGAAATTGTCAGCTACTATTATTCTTCCCTCTGCTCCAACTCCTCCCCTACCCTCCTGCCTAAGACCAGAGCCTTGAACTTGGCGCTTCCCCTCTCTGCTTCACTCAGCTGTAAGTAATCTGTACTTCCAGACATTTATTGGATAAAGCTTGTGTTTTCCAGCCTGCCCCCTTCCAGATGCTGCAAACTCCCCTCCCATCGGCCTCCTGAGAGAGGCCAGAGGAACACCAATCTGAGTCTAATTAGAAAGATTACATCTCATGTTGGGGGGAGGTACAGATTCCTTTCTATTCCCAGTGGCGATAACAAGCTTCACATTTCACCAGGGTGATGACATGGCAACGCCAAATTTCTTTGATCAGTCAGGAATTACTAGCTTATTACAAATGTAACTCAAGACAAACATTCAAAGGTTATTGACAGAAAAAAAGATTTAGAGTGTGCAAAGATGGATATGACTTGTATTCTATCATTCCAACCTTAAAGGGAAATATGTCTAACAGACAGAGGTGAAGAACCCCATCAAACACTTCAAATAGAAAATGAAGAGACTGAACCAAAATGATTTCTCAGAAATCCACCCTGGCCCACCCCCCCCCTGCTCCCCCCCACCCCCCCCGACCCCCAAGACATTAGTGACACTGTGGATCACCAGATCTTGTTAGAACATCACAAGGGATTCTAATAGTTCACTTTTGATGATCTGGCCTTAGAATTCAATGCCATGCCTCAATGACAGCTTCCATTTCATTCAGAGACTCATTGATGTTCACAGCACAGAAGGAGGCCATTCAGCCCAACCTGTCCATGCTGGTCACAAAGGTACAATAATCCTATTTTTCACCTCTCAGCCCACAGCCCTGGAGGTGATGGCAACACAAGAGAATATCTTGAGGCATCCTCAATATTATTAGTGTTTTTGACTCAATCACTCTTTCTGCTTCTAGGGGTTCAGTTCTCCTTCCTGGGAATACTCTCCTCTGCTTTCTTGAAACCTGCATCCAAGCTTTACTCCACAGTCTGGCTTTTCACAAACACCGAGCTCCATCAAGCCAGTACTGTCCCTGGATTTATTTCCTGAGCTTGCTGAATTATTCATTGTGCATCAACTTCCTTTGAGTCGTTCAGAGTTCCAGCGACTTTCCTGAGCCTTTGCTACACAGAGCCATTCAACTCCTCAAGGACTTTCCTTGTCCGTAACTGTACAGAATCTGGACAGTTTCGGTACCTTTAACAGCACAGCTAACAGCTAACGTCAGTATTTACTGTCGAGAAAGGCATGCATGCTCGGGAACTTGAGGAAATAAATAGTGATTCTTGAAGAGCATCCACATTACAGAAGAAGAGGCGCTGGAAATCTTGAAACGCATTAAGGTAGGTAATTCCCCAGGACTCGATGAAGTGTATCCCAGGACTTCATGGGAGGTTAGGGAGGAAATTGTAGGGACCCAAACAAAGATATTTGTATCATCGACAGCCAAGGGTGAAGTGCCTGAAAATTGGAGGGTGTCTAATGTTGTGCCATTATTTAAAAAAGACTTCAGGGAAATGCCTGGGAACTACAGACCCGTGAGCCTAAAGTCAGTGACGGGTAAGTTGTGAGAAGGGCTTCTGAGAGACAGGATCTACAGGCATTTGGAGAGGCAAGGACTCATTTAGGATAGTCAGCATGGCTTTATGCATGGGAAATCATAGCTCATGAATTTTATTGAGTTTATTGAAGTGGTGACTAAGATAGTAGATGAGGGCAGTGTGGTAGATATTGTCTACTTGGGCTTTAGCAAGGTCTTTAACAAGGTACTGTGTGGTAGGTTTTGAGTAAGGTTAAATCTCATGGGATCCAGGGCGAGCTACAAAATTGGATACAAAATTGACTTGAAGGTAGAAGACAGAGGGTGGCGGTAGAAAGTTGGTTCTCAGACTGAAGGCCTGTGACCAGTGGTTGATGCTGTGTCCACTGATATTCATCATCTGTATAAATGATTTGGATGAGAATTTAGGAGGTATAGTTAGTAAGTTTGCGGATGACACCAAGATTGGTGGACAGTGAAGAAAGTTATCTGGAATTGCAGCAAGATCTTGATCAAATAAGTCACGGGGCAGAGGAATGGCAGACAGAGTTTAATTCAGATAAATGTGAGGTGTTGCTTTTTGTTGGTCAAACCAGGGCAGGGTTTACACAGTTAATGGTAGGGCCTTGGGGAGTGTTATGGAACAAAGAGATCCAGGGGTACAGCTTCAAAGCTCCTTAAAACTGGAGTCACAGGTAGACAGGATGGTGAAGAAGCTTTTGGCATATTAGCTTTCATCGGTCAAAGCAATGAGTACGGGAGTTGGGAGGTCTTGTTGCAGCTGCACAAAATGTTGGTGAGGCATGCAGTTCCAGTCGTCCTACTATAGAAAGGATATTATTAAACTGGAAAGAGTGCAGAAAATATTTACTAGGACGCTAACGGGACTGGAAGTTTTGAGGTATAAGGGAAGACTGGATAGGCTGGGACTTTATAGAGGCCTATAAAATCATGAGAGGCATAGATAAAGTAGATAGCCGACAGCTTTTCCCCGTGATAGGGGAGTCTAAAACTAAAGGACAAAGGTTTAAGATGAGAAGGGAGAGATACAAAAGGGTCCAGAGGGACAATTGTTTTCACACAGAGGGTGGGGATCATCTGGAATGGGCTGCCAGAGTGAGTGGTAGAAGTGAGTACATTTTCGTCATTTCAGAAACATTTGGACAGGTACATGGATGGGTAGGTATGGAGGGATATGGACCAAACACAGGCAAACGGGACTAGATTAAGTGTGAAAACTGGGCAACAGGGACAAGTAGGGCTGAAAGGCCTGTTTCCATGCTGTAGACTCCTATGACCCAGAGACTGGTGAGCCTGTGGAATTAACTGTGGTTGAGGTCAGTACATTAGGCATTTCCAGGAAGGAGGTAGATATAGCTCTCATGGCTAAGGGGATCAAGGGGCTTGGCAGAAGGGCAGGATTAGGGTACTGAGCTCCATGATCAGCCATGATCATATTGAATAGTGAAGCAGGTTTGAGAGGTTGAATGGCCTAATCCTGCACCTATTTTCTATGCTTCTATGTTATCTACTCTTGGCATCAAGGATTGAGTGACCGCTATGTCCAGGAGCAGGAGAATGGTCTTGCATGTATCCTGGGAGCAGTACCGGGATACT